ACCACGTATAAGGTTTTTTCCACCTTCTTGACACCAAAGGGTATTTTATTTTCTGTTTTTTTAAATAAATGAACCCTTAATTTGGAAGACTTTGTTTCTTTAAGTGTGCAGATGTGAGAGTTCTTACTAATGACACTTAACATCATTTTTGGCCACAAATCCTGTCATGATGCAATATTCCCAGACATGTTCAAAATGCTCTCTTTGTACAGCAGCGACAGCTGTGGGAAGGCTGCTTCTTTCTCACACTTACTCAAAAATCTCACCCGTGCCTTGACAGGACTGAACTAAAGCACACTCACTGGCAGCATGCTACTAAACTACTTACCAGGAAAGGCGGGCACAGTTAGAAGGTACATTTTCTTCTTCTATTTCTTTTTTTTTTAATTTTTTTAAAGATTATTTATTTATTTGACAGAGAGACACAGCAAGAGAGGGAACACAAGCAGGGGGAGTGGGAGAGGGAGAAGCAGGCTTCCTGCTGAGCAGGGAGCCTGATGCAGGGCTCAATCCCAGGACCCTGGGATCATGACCTGAGCTGAAGGCAGACGCTTAACGGACTGAGCCCCCCAGGCACCCCCATTTTCTTCTTCTATTTGTCTGTCAAGGAAAAATGTGTCATTCATCTTTAAGTCCAGCAATTCTTTTAAACCCTTTGCCAGGAGCAGTCCAAAACCTCTACATGGCACAAGAGATTTTCATGACCAACTCCTCTTCCCCACCATTTCACGTACAAAATACCATAAAGTTCCTATTATTTAAAGGTTTTGCCTTTATAAAAGTAGCCATGCCAATGGCCTTGTGCGGCCCCTAGACAGGAGTATGAGGTGATGCGTCTCTAGCAGCTGGGGGGGGGGGAAGGGGGGCCAATCTCCTCAAGCCACTACCACCTCCCCCCTAAGGAGTCACATGGCTGTGGCTGGCTTGTCAAGGACAAGGCAGATAGCAAAAATCAGTACCACAATTTTTATTTCTAAGTGTTTATTTCTAAATCTGTAATCATCAATACAGCATAATTGCTCGTGCTTTCCTCCTGCATCCTGGTGCCGTCAAGTGCTGCTGGGGTGTGCACGCCCCCTCATCTGGAGACCACTGCCCCTGAGAGTGCTTCCAGTGGGCCAGTCTTGCCTGTCCCCCCACCACCCCAACTATAGATTTCTAAGCTTCTTAAGAGCAAGGGTTCTGCCTTGTCCTTCCCGTCCCTCCCAAGAACCTAGCGCAGGGAGAGCAGAGCTCAGGGGCTCCATGACCTTGGAATGAGTGGGCTCCATCAACAATAAGCCCTCTGATGTACAGATGCCCATCAACCTGGTGGGGGGCAGGGCTCAGATGAAGAAAGCCTAGACCCCTTTCTTGAGGCTTCCTCATGTACTGGGCTGAGAGATGTGTAAATGAGGAATGACATACAATCCAAGGCGGAATGAAGTAGGAGCTGTGGGAGAAGGAAGCTAAAGACTCTTGGTTCTGGTTCATTCTCCCTAGAAGGATTGAGAAAGGCTTCCTGGAGGAGGTGGTGTGCTGTTCAGTGGTACTGGTTTGTGTACCATTGCAACAAGGGGAAAGGATGGAAAGAAGATGAGGAAGTGGCCTATCAGAGATGTCATCAAGGAGAAGAACCTGTCAGGGGAAAGTGTGGATGGAAAAGGAAGAGCTCACCATGTCAGTCTCAAGGACAAATTAAAACAATCCACAGGTCACGGGCTGGAACAATACAGTAGCCTTGCCTACAGTATTCCAGATACACTGGGTTTCGAATACAAATTTTTCTCTAGTGAGTAAAAAAAAAGGTCTTTAGGGGCAGACTCACAGATGTTCTTTCTGTTTCCCCCACACTCCTAACATGGTCCTGCCTTAGGGTGCTTGCGGTAACTTCCCTCTGTCTTGAACACCCCCCAGAGTGTCACAGTGTTGGTCCCCTATGTCGTTCGGGGCTGCACTCAGATGTGACCTCCTCAAGGGCCTCTCTGACCTAACGGAGGGAAGCTGGGCCCTCTCTGTCCTACCACTCTCTTCACTTTCATCCCAGCTCCAAGCACACCCTGATGTTTTCTGGGTTATTTATGGTGGTTTGTTAACTGTCTGTCCCCCTCCTCCCCAACACACACACACTAACATAAGGGTCAGGGCTGCTAAGCATGAATACTGAGCAAGAGACTTCACTCAGGTCCTCTTAAAATACTTGTTATAGGTCAGATTGATGAAACAGTCTCACTTGAGACGACCCCAAATCCACTTACAGGGGAAAACAGAGAGAGAGAGAGAGAGAGAGAGAGAGAGGAATATAAGAAAGTAGAAATTGCTCCGGTGAAATCTGATATATGAGGTTACCAGGCAGCTTTAGTATAACTTCTTTTTAAATCTGGTTTGTTTCATTTCTCTTACTTCAGTTAAAAAACAAAACAAAAAAATACCTCACTGTGTTTCTATGCACCTCTCAAAGGCACCTTACTTTGGTCGTAGACAAAAGTTGGTAGAACTAATAAATATATACTTCGGGGATATAACTTAAGTATTTGATTTGTCCACAGATTTCTCTAGAAATGTTAGGTGTCCTAAGTCCTTGTTTCCCCGTCTCAATCAAACCTCAGGTTCTCTGAGGGCACTTATTTAAAATACAGATTTCCAGGCCCCTCCGCAGAGGGACGTCTGAGGGGGGCTCCTCTACTCTGCGTTAGGCTTCGCAGGTGGTTGTGTGGCTCCCCAGGTTTGGGGACAGGACAGTAACTTAGCCTGCCCCGGTCGTCAGCAAACAGTGTCAAGGCCTCGTACTGCTTGAGGGCTCATTGTTTGAGGGAAATGGTGGGAAAACAGTGATTTTGCTTCCGATTTGCTGATTATAACGCTGACATGTGGCCAGACTCTCCCCGAATGTTGCAGACACCTTCGGGTGGCCCGTCGGGGCCCCGGGCCTGCCTCGCGGGAGGGCAGCGCACACTCCTCCGCGCGGGGCGCCTCGCGAGCAGCACCCGGGCCGCCCCGAACGCCGCACCCGCCAGAGAGCAGGCGGCCCCTGGGCCCCTTCCCTTCCTGGGAGAGGCTGGGCACGCAGCCGCGGAGGGACTGGCCCCGCGGGGCTTCTCACGCAAAGGCCTCAGAGGATCCGTGTACAGCGTGGGCCGTGCTGCCCTTACTCCGAGAAGCCCTTTCTGCGCGTTCGTGCTCGCTCTCGAGGAGGCCCAGCGGTGAGGAGAGCCTGAGCCTGCTCCCCAGGGCCTCGCCGCGCGCGCCGCCCAGGCTCCCCTGCAGGCCCGTCCCGCCGGGCCTCGGCGCTTGCGGGGCTTCCCAGGCCGGCCCTCCCCCAGCTCACCGGGGCCGCCGCGCGGGAAGCAGGGGCCGGCCGGCAGCCGCGAGCCCGGCCGGAGGAAGCCCGAGGTGGCAGCCCGCTGCCCCAGGCCAGGGTCTGCGGCCGTCCAGTCGCCCTCTGCGCCTCCGAGTTCCTGGGGCAGGTTCCTCAGGAGCGCTCTCAGGTCCTCCAGATGGAACTGAAACGCTGGCCCTGGGAAACGGGGCAGAGCGGGTGTGTGCCCGGCACGTGTCTCGGGGAGGGAGTCCGGGAGGACGCTGACCGTGAACGCAGGCCGCCGCGCCGCGGCCTCGTCCTGGAACGGGCGGCCAGGTCGGCGTGCTCCGCCCCACGGCGCGCCGAGGTAACACCACCGAGAGGCCGCGCGGGCATTTAACCGCGGGTCCGACTCCAGACAGCAGAGCGAAGACGCCGAGCTCAGTCCGTAGGCACCGGGCTTTGCCTGCCCCCAGCGCCTGCGCAGAGCTGCCCTCCGCACCAGCTGATGTCACGTGGTCCCAGATCCCCCCGTGCCACCACCAATGGAAGCTAAGCTCTGCCTAGGACTTCCGCCGGGCAAATGCGGGCTGTGAGGGAGGGAACGGGGGTGAGCACAACCCCCCCACCCACGCAACCCTGGGCGCGATTTCTGGCCTTGAGACAGAGTTGATGGGGCTGTAACTCAGTGGCCCGAACTGGGGACAGCCCAGAGCCTTGGGGGAGAAAGCCCTTTCTGAGCCAAGGAGGTAGGAGGGCCCGGAGAGGCCACACACAGGCTGCAGATGCCCGTCAGCCCCGCGTAGGGAGCCGTGCCCTGGGCCTCTCCGGGCGCTCGTCACACCAGCGAGGGCAGGAAGAAGGGGCTGTCCCCCCGCTGGCATCAGAAGGCCGCCCTGGGACGCTCTGCCTTGTGCTACAGCTCTGGGCGTTCATAGCCTGTCCTTCCTCCTCCGTGCTCCCCGAAGGAGTCCTTTGTCGGCCCGCCACAGGTTGGGGTGCTCGGTCACGGGCGTCCCAACACGACAGTGGTGCTCACCCAAGCTCTGGGTGTCTCCTTGCCCCAAACCTAACGCTACCGTATCGTGGTCACAGGATTATTTTTGTGCCATTGAATCTGATTCTCAGTACCCACAGAGGTGTAAGCAATTATTTTTAATTCTACAGACCATGTTACTCTAATCAGCAGAAATCAACTGCTACTTTTTTAGCAATTGAATGTAATACTCTGCATGTTACAGAATCTGGTTAAAAATATGAGAGGTTATTAGTGCAAAATGTGGGCATGTTTTAATGACAGCAGCGGTTTTTAACACTCTGCACCCTAAATTTGGGGTTCTAAAAATGAATTAAGTCTGGGAGGACCAAATTATATCCCATTTCTCTCAACATTCAGAAGAATAACATTCAAGTCATTATTTCTCCCTCTTCTGAATTTCCAAAACACTGTAATTTCTCGCGGTATTTATCACGCCTGCCCTCTGTTAGTACTGCCTCTGCCCCAGGTTCATCTCCTGGAGAGGAGGAACGAGTCTTGCCACCCTGCACCTCTCCCTCAGCACACAGTGTCTGTCACTCTGTCCCTTCTCCACATTTTACCAAACTTCCTGGCGGACTTGAGTGCCCTCTGTGTTCCCAGGACCCTTGGGCAAGCTGCCCTCTTGGCGTTTACTACATGATGTCCCTGTGTTGTCCCTGAAAGATCATGCGCACATCATGGCTAGGGACTCTGTCTCCTTCACCTCGGTGTGCCTAGCTCCTGGCACAGAGTAGAGAGCAAGTAAATGATGAATGAATGAATAAATGGTTAGTGAATACCTGCACCCTATTTTAACAGCTTTATTGAGATAGAATTCACATACCATGAAATTCGACCATTCAAAGTATACAGTTCAGTAGTTTTTAGTATATTGAAAGAATGGCGCAGTCACGACCACAATTGAATTTCAGACATCTAATAATTCAGACATCTAATAGTCAGCTCCCCTGAAACCACCCCTAGGGAAGATTCTGTATCCATCATCAATTATTTCTCATTCCTGCCACTACCCCTGGGACCTACTTTCTGTCTCCATGGATCTGCTGATTCTGAACATTTCATATACATGGAATCACATAATAGATGGCCATTGTGACTGGCTTCTTTCCTTTGGCCTCCTGTACTCAAGGTTCATCCATCCGTGTTGCAGCAGGTATCAAGACTTCATTTTTTAAAGGCTGGATAATAATCCCTTGTCTGGATGTACCATGTAATGTGTATGCATTCATCAGTTGGATATTTGTGTTTCCACTTTCTGGCTAATACGAATGAGATTATAAACATTCATGTGCAAGTTGTTGTGGGGACATATACTTTCATTTCTCTTGGATAGATACAAAGGGGAGAAGAATTGCTGGGTTCTGGGGTAACTTCATGTTTAACATTTTGTGGCACTGCCGGACTATTTTCGAAAGCTGCACCATTTTACATTATCACCAGTGATGTATGAGGGTTCCACTTTCTCTGCATCCTGCTCAACACTTGTTATTTTGTTTTTCTCTTTGATTCTAGCCATCGCACTGGTGTGGAGCGGTATCGTTGTGATATTGATTTGCATTTCCTAATGAGTTATTGAGCATTTTTTCATGAGCTTATTGGCCACTTATATCTGTACACTCCTGAACCAAATGATAAAATGTCAGAGCTTCACAGGAAAACATCACAGATGAGTCCCAAAGAGTAATGTTAAATGACGTACCCAAGTTGAGCAGTACAGGGTCTCAGATGGATCCTGACTCCTAACCACGTGCTCAGTTCTTCCCACCTGGCCCTTCTATCAGGTCGCCTCTGGATTCCTACCCCACTGGATGAATGAAGCGATTGGATTCCATATGAATCAGCATAAGCATATGCTCTAGTGCTTTTTGATTTTATGCCATATCTTTTCTTCTTTGGTTGGATGGGTTTCATCTCTGAAAATGGTTCTCCCTGGGTACAGACTTTGTACTTGAGCAGATGGTTTTTATAACTTGCAGCTACTTAAAGTTTTAAGCAACTGATGACTGAACTCCAAGCATTAAATAACTTGAAGAAGCTTTCTTAGCCACGAGAGTGCAAGCGAGGATGGATTTAAAGTCATAGGATAAATTTGAACCTGTCCACTTAATGTGTTCACTGTGGCCATGAACACACACAAGAAGAAAGTATTAAAAAGATAGCAAGTATTTTATTATTTATTTATTTATTTATTTATTTATTTATTTTGATAGCAAGTATTTTAAAAAGTACTTAAGGAATGAGGTGGGGCTGGTGAGGACAGTTATAGCATATGTATGAATGTTGGAGTTTGGAAGAATATAGAGAGAAGCTGACATTGCTCCGCCCTCCCAGGGGACCAGCAGGTGGATGTGGAGATAGAGCTGAAGAGAGAAGCCATTCTTAGTATGAATTCTCAGGGAAGAGTGCCGTCCTCAGACAATTAACAAAAATGAAAAGAGGTGGCCTGGGGGATGGCTGGTACCTACTCAAAAGAGGCTGGTTTATGCTGCAATACACAAGCAGCACAAAAATCTCCATGGCTTATCAGAATGTAATTGTATTCCTTGCTCATGCAACATTCACCACGGGTTTCCATGTGGTGGCTCAGCATTCCAAGCTACTTTCTTTTTCTCTCTTTTCTTTCTTCCTTTCTTTCTTTCTTCCTTCCTTTCTTTCTTTCTTGATTTATTTGAGAGAGAGAGAGCAAGAGAAGAGGGAGAGGGAGAGAATCCCAAGCAGACTCTATGCTGAATGCAGAGCCCAACATGGGGCTCGATCTCACAACCCTTAGATCATGAACTGAGTGGAAATCAAGAGTCCGATGCTTAACCGACTGAGCGACCCAGGTGCCCCCAGGCTACTTTCATCTTGGCTATATCTGTCTTAATATATTTCTATGTTTTCCATGGCAAGAGAAGAGCAGTCTAGAAGATTTCAAACCAACTAATGAGTGCTTCACCTTGGAAGCGACACGGCACATCATTTCTGCTCACAACTGATTGTTTAGAACTTAATCACATGGCCTTGTCTAACTGTGGAGGGGCCAGGAGGTGTGATCCTCCCATAAGCTTGGAGGGAAAGGCGAACTGGACAATGGGCAAGTTCCAGTAACATCTGCCAAAGCTGGAGAAGGAGGTTCTTTTTGGTCTTCCCTGGGGGAGTTCTTGGAGGGATTTTTGTGTCTATTAGAGTATCCCTTTCTGGCAGGGAATGGAGGAGGGTGTCTGAACTGTGGAGGCAGAGCTGAAGCAGAGGGGAGATGCAGGCTGAAGATAAGAACATGAAGTGTGACAAGCCAGATCATCTAGATTCCAAGCATTTTCTGAGTTTATTATCTGAATCCCCAAACATGAATCAAGTCTTTGTCTTAGCTAAGATTTGGGGACACTCAACAAGTATGGCTCGTCCCTGCCCAGTTCTAGTTTTTATTTTGATTTTAATTGGAGAGATTTCCTTAAGGAACAGTTGAGTCAACACACAGACTCCCTTATCAAAATAACCACAATTTTGTAAGCATTTACATCGTCATATCCCACATAGCACCTGGCAGAGGGCCTCACCATAAGAAACTCTTCATTCCTTCAGTTAGAGAATGAATAAGAGGAATGAGAACTATCAACTATCTATTGTACTCCTGAAGGCCAGCGTCCTTCTGTAAGACTCCAAACTCTCCTCAGCCCCAGGGTGAATAAGGACGATGCGGGAGACACCAGACCTAACTCAGTTCCTGTGGAAACTCAGGACAGGCCCAGAGGGCTTGGGATCATGTTTGCTCAAACCGCTCCTATCTTCAGATTGTTCATTTGCTACTCATTCCGATAATTAACCACGTATCAGGTCTGGTCCTGTACAAATACTTGCTTGAACCATTTCTCAAGCAGGTATCAACATGCTTCTAATGTCTATTACTTCTTTTCCCGGCATCACTGGCCCTTGCCAATTCATCGTGTATTGCGGCTGCATGAGTGCCTGGGATGATATCATTGCAAGAAGATATTGTGGACTTGGAAGACTGGGTTGACATACCGAATTGACAGAACATTCAGGAGGAGAGATCCAGTAGGCAGCCAGCAATAGAGAGCAGAAGATTGGGGAAAGTCAGGGATGGGGATACGCACTTGGGATTTATCGGCATTGGGTGGTATTTGTAGCTGTGGGAATCAGGAAGAGAATATGAAGATGATAGGTGTGAAAGCATTTTGTATAATATTGGGTCTTTTTATAATCACCATTTTTAATGGGTTCAAGAAAGAACTTAGGGGGCGAGAAAAAGGAAAAGGAGCCAGAAGCGTTCAGAGAAGGAGGACCTAAGAGGCAGGAGGAGAACCAAGTATTGGTTCAGGGCAGCTCAAGGAGAGAGAGCTGTAGGGGTGGGGCTGGGGTGGCGAAGTGCCAAGTGCTTGAGAACAGCAGGAGCTACTGGCGACTAAAGCCAGGGCTCTGCCCTTGGTGATGAGGAAGTTAGAGCTGGCTGGAGAGAGGGAGAGAGAGGTTTCATTAGGTAGACTGGCCACCATCTTCTCCTGTATTCAGATTCCCATCTGGCTTAGCCCCACCCCGTCTCCATGCTCGGTGCCCTCTCCCCAGTCCGGTTCCCTACACCAGCTCTTGGGCACTGGGCCCCACTGGGCTCCCAGGAATCCTTTATCCCTTTAGCAATAAACTCAACCTTGTCCAAGTGTAGTCCAAAGTTTCTTCCAGTGAGACTGTTGAGGGTAAAACTATTTTTCATAATATCACTGATTCACTCTGGACCTTTCTCACTCTCCCTCACAAGTATACAGTTGACTTTTCTGGAAGCTACATGATGTATCGCATCACAATGGAAGGAGTGCATAAAACCTGATAGGAGGAAGGAGGAGAGCAGGCCCTGGGAGGCAGCAGGGAGGCCCCGAGACGCCCTCGTACGCCATGACCTGGGCTCAAAGGCCTCTAAGCCACAGGGTTTGCTCCCTGGGAAGTGGCCTGTTATGGGAGTCCGGAGACCCAGGCTCAACGCCATGTTCTTCCTGGCCGTGCGGTCATGGGCACAAGCTCCTGACGGGCAGTTGTCAACCCTCGCTGGCCATTAGAATCCCATGGGAGCATTAACAGATACTGGGCCTGAGACCCCACTCTGACCAAGTGCATCAGGCTCTCCCCGGGTGGGACCCGGGTCTGGGAGCATGCGGCTGGGAGAGCCCCTGTTCTCCAACCCTGTGGGATTCTTGGACTTTTTTTCTGTCAGTTCATCCCACTGACCACAAGATGGAGCTCTCTTTCCGGGAAATGTTCGATGTTCGCCGAACAGGCAAGTCTATTTTCTCTCTAGTCCTGAAAGAATACATTTGAATTTGACAATCTTCACAGCATCTCATTAAGCCAGAATTCTGTGCCCTTGGGTCTAGCCATTTAATGCGTCTCTTTTCCCTTCTGCTAGAAACCGTATTGGGTCGGGATGTGTCATCTACTGTTTTGTATTCCTCAAAGGCTATAATGCAAAGCAGAGTTGGCATTTATTATTGCTTTATGATCCTCATTATTAGTATCAATAACAGCTACTCTTCACTTAACCTTTTACCATTTGCAAAGTACTCTTCACCAGTTAGTCTCAGAATAACTCTAGGAAATGGGTATCACTGTTCTCATTTATAGACGAGAAAACTGAGGCTCAGAGATCAAAAGTTGGCAGAACCAGATCCTGCACCCTTCCCATTGTGCTCAGATGAGAAGAACAGGCAGAGCACAGAGACCAGCAGTCAACCCCTTGGGACCCAAAAAGTACAGCCCAGAGGCAGGAAAATTCTCAGGACAACCTCTGGAAGACTTCGTAAGCAAGCAGGAAAGACAGATATCCTCTGGAGTTTCACACTGTCACAGACGACAGGTCAGTAGACAAGTTCGACCGGGCTGAGTGGCCGGCTGAGGTAACAGATGAGAAGTTTCCAGTGCGAAGCTGGACAGTCAGCAGACATTCAACAAGAGGACAGATTTTATTAGTTTTAATTTTATGTTCCAGGAAAATGAACTGCTATGCCAATGGGAAAAACAAATCTCAATTCTGCCTTAAGAAAAAGGTGTAAACTCCATCTCCAAAGAAAATCTTTTTCTACCAGCAAGGGATGTCTGACAAGTTAGCAGATCTGATGAGGATAATTTCCAAGATCACGACATCACTCGTTACAGACTTGCTGCCAGGTTCTGGCAATCAGTCAGGAACCCAAATGTCAGGGCCCCAGGACCCCAATGTCTCTGGGTGCTTCTATTCCAGATGAAGGGGCTACAAGTGTAAGTTCAAGTACTTGGACTAGGGAGACTGTTTTCAGGACTGAAGCAGTTACATGGAAAGCTTCATAAATTAGTATGTGGGTAAGTTTACGGCTCCCATGTACATGTTAGCAATTCAGTATGTTGTTTTACCATCTTCTGTGCCTCGGCTTCCCTGTGTGTAAAGTGGTAAGAGCAGTACCTAGCTCACAGGACTGTTATAAGGATCAAAAGAGTTTATGTACAAAGCATTAGAACCATGCCCAGCACACAGTAAGCACTATGTGTTTCTTTTTTTTTTTTTTAAAGATTTTATTTATTTATTTGAGAGAGAGAGAATGAGAGAGAGCACATGAGAGGGGTGAGGGTCAGAGGGAGAAGCAGGCTCCCCGCCGAGCAGGGAGCCCGATGCGGGACTCGATCCCGGGACTCCGGGATCATGACCTGAGCCGAAGGCAGTCGCTTAACCAACTGAGCCACCCAGGCGCCCAGCACTATGTGTTTCTTAAATAATGTTAAATAAATAAATGGATCTGAGCACATCCATTTATGTATTTTACAAGTGAAATCTTAATTTTTTTCAGTAATTTAAATATTATGTTATTTGTACACTTACGGGTACAAAAAAATGTACTTTAGGAAGATTAAAATATTTCCTTATGACTAAAATTTGAAATCCCACTGAAAATGCATAAATTTGATTAGAATGGTACTAGAGTCTTTTACATTTTATAAACATAAGAAATAGGTTAAAAATTCTTTAAGTCCACCATGTTTTTCTTTTCATTATTACCAGTGTTGGCACATAAGCCTGTCCGGCAAGAATAATGCAATGATCAGATTTTTCTTTCTCCTTTTTAAAGAAAAGCTTTCCTTTTTCTCCATTTAATTTCTTCCAAGTTTGGAAATTAGGGATCATTTCGGAGGGTGCCCTGGGCATTTTCCCGACTCTAAAGATTTCCTCGGTCTGAGTTTCTAGGCAATTGGGAATATTCCACAGCAACACTCAGCTCAAATGCCCGTCTTCAAGTATCAATTTAAAGCATTAAAAAAAAGAGAGAGAGAAAGAGAGAGAGCATTTGCTCTGAGAGATTTCATGCAACCCCAGGGAGAAAGACTGGAATGTTGAGAATGTAATAGGGACAGGACTTGGAAGAAAAACACATGAATTGAAACACTGCTTTCCAATCTAAAAGTTGTTTTTCATGTCTCATTTTGGCATTAATTTTCTTTTAGTACCATATTGTTTCCTGGTAACAGTTTTTTTGTTTGTTTTTTTTTGTTTTTGTAATAGCTATTCTTTACGACTTTTGTTTCTCTTTCTTGCAGGCTGTTTTATGAAACAGACTTTGTGGAGAAGAGATGGGGATAAAGATGTACCATTTCCAGCCACCATGGAACTCCCCTCCCCCACTCCCAGCTCAGACAGCCCCTTCACTACAGCCTATCCTACCAGGCCCAGGAGAACGTGGGGCATAGGGGACGGGACAGAAGCAGGGACATGATCCAGGTGCTCAGGTGAAACCAGAACTGTAGTTTTGCCCTACAGAAACAATATTTAAAAGTTTAAGTTCTTTAGTACCAAAATTTGGGGCAGTTGCACTGAGAATCGTGTGGGCTTCTGTGCATTGAGCCAGGGCCCTAATATCACATCATTGTTTCCATGGAAAAATTAAAACCTAGGTCCAAATACCTGACCTCAACTGAACTTTTACAAAAGAACCTGAGTGGGGACTATTTCACATACACCCAACACACTCAGAGACAGTTCCTGTTTCTATCAATCAGCCTGTCCATCTGTTTGTCCATCCATTCCTACTGTCTCTTTACTAAGATACAGCATAATTGCCAAAGAAATGTAAAAAGCAAAAAAAAAAAAAAACAAAAAAAAGTGAAAAGCAAAAAGCTACGATTGATAGAAATGAGTTACACATTTTATATTTATAGAGTTCAAAGCAATGGTTCTGTTGTAAATTCATCTTCACGGAATTTTTTAAAAAATCACTATTTAAAATAATCTCTTCTTCACAGAGGTGGTGTGGTATAGTCCGTGAGTTTTATAGTTGTGAATCTCAGGTCCAGCTACTTAACTTTTCCAAGACTTGGTTCCTTATCGATAAACAGGGACAATTACATAACTCTCAAGGATAAATTTTTTTTTCTGAGATCATGTAAATGTCTAGCAATAAATGTGGCTCTTTTGAACTCTTTTTTGTCTCACCTCAGTAAAGGTATTTTTATACTGAGCCATAAAAGGGGATGAGATCTTGCCATGTGCGACAACATGGATGAACCTGGAGGATATCATGCTAGTGAACTAAGTCAGGCCACGTGATTTCACTTATATGTGAAACAAACAAAAAGCAGAAACAAATCCATAAATATAGAGAACAAACTGATGGCTGCCGGGGGGGGGGGGCAGAACGGGTGAAGGGGAAGGGGAGGTACCGGTTTCTAGTTAGGGAATGAGTAAGTCACAGGATGAAAAGGCACAGCGTAGGGCCCACAGTCAATGGTACTGAAATAGCGCCGGGTGCAGAGCGGCAGGAGCTACACCTGTGGGGAGCACAGCAGAATGTACAGACTTGTTGAATCATGCCATATGCTTGAAACTGAAGTAATATTGTGTCAACTGTACTTCAGTTTTAGAAAATTTTAATGTTTTTAAACCCCCATTTAATTTTCAGAAGCCATGATTTAAACTTTTCTCTATACTTGGGTACCCTATCCATCAATCTGCTTGACTTAGGTTAACGTCCAAAATAGACTAATGCGGATAGACTATTCACTTACAAATTAAATAGATTCGAAGAGCTTACTTATGTTGACAGCTGTAACCATTTTATTTGAACTGGGCCTACCCCCCAAAAAATATGTGATTTTCACAACACTTTATAAGATGTCACATTCTTCCTTTTTTCTTTTTTTCTTGAAGAGGGACTTAGACTCTTGTAACAGCCTCAACTAAGACACCTTCTGTGGTAAGAGTTAGCAAAGTCAGGTGGCACTTGAATGAATCATGGAATGGCCTCAATGAAGGACAAGTCAGATTTTATTTAAGTAGGTTCATCAAGTGTTCTTCCCTATTTACTATTAAATTCATCTCATCACAGAAGCAGAGGCAAGGGTGGACGGTGGGGTTCTGCAAGCACAGCAAATGCGTCTGAGCCGTGGGAAGGAGGCTCCCGTCCACGGGGGTCCTGCCGGCCTCAGATGAACTGGAATCCACTCTGCTGCTGGTGTGTCCAGGACTCTGTCTCCTCCTGACTCGCTTTCACTGGCCCCTTTTCCTGGGATCTGTCCTCCTACTGTCAGTCAGCATTGCGGGCTCTGCCTGTTGGTTAGAATTTGACACCCATGCTGCTTTATTCTACTGGTGTCGTAATCCCCAATTTTTTCAGGCAACTCTGTGTCCACTGAAGATCTGGTCCTGCCTGCCAAGCTTGATCTCAGGGTAAAAGACATACTCTCAGTTGTGAGGAAACCTGAGGCCTAGGAGATTTAGTATAATTTATGGCCCCCCAAAATCACATGGATAAGACCATATTCTAAAATGGTGTTCTCTTTAGTTTATAATAGAATCAGAAAGTTCCTCTGCTTTGTATTGAAATGTAGGGTTTTTCTCCCTCTCATAAAAGGCATGTTTGTATCAGATGGCTACCATGTAGCCAAAGCTTGGAGAGGTCCAGAACGACACTGCATTTAGCCGCGCGTGTGTGTGTGTGTGTGTGTGTTATTCAGGTGGCTTAATATGAAGCCAAAATGTCTGGTCCTACATTAATCTTCAGGAGTGATGATTTTAATTTTGTAGTGCAGAAATAAAGCCAAATAAATAGGCAAAAAGTAAACCTATAAAAATGGCTTTAACTTACTAATCCAGTCCATCTTTGAGAGCACTTTGAGATAAAAATGGTCCAGAGGACAAAGTGCATAATTAATGATGAGAAAAATGATTCCTTCAAGTCCCATAAAAAAAAGAGTTCTCCCTGCCGTAATCATGTGTCCAGAGTTCTATTCATGCAGAAGCAATGGTTACTTCTTGCTTCTGTCCCCTTCATTCCAGTACTGCTCAGTCTGCATTTCCGTGAGTCGGGAAAGCGTGCGCTGAAATGCAAAGATCTCCTCTTCTCCAGTAAACATAGAGAGTCCTTCTGCTGAGTCCTGGTTACCAAAATACAATTAAAAAAACAAAACAAAACAACCCAGGACTAATTAAAACTACCACAAATAAAAATTTACAGAACTAAGTACAGGTTTAAAACAACTTCTTAGGTTTAGATCATAAAATGTTCTATACACTTTTTCCATATATGATCTCTTAAACTAGACTGGAGAATTAACTAATTTAAACCAATAATCAATAGTCAGAACAAATTACCAGGGAGAAAACAATAGGGAAAACAAGAATAATTAAAGCTGAACCAATGCCCCAAAATCCAAATATGAAGATTTTTGCATGAAGAAAGTTTTTGCAGGATGGAAATTTTCTGCAAAACCTAAAGGAGAGACAATGTCAGAAAAAGAATTCTTTCTCCAAAAATGTACGCCAGAGATAAGTAACACCAAAAAAACCCCAGCCGTTCAGGCAAGTTAGGAAGAGGCTGACACCCTCCTCCGAAGCACCACGGGCAGTGCCACGTGCCCCACAGGAGGCCCTGAGGACAAGCCTCCGCAGAGCCTTTTCCGCACCGGCTGACAGAGAGGTCTCCTGTGGGCCTAGAGATCTGGCCTGCGAGCCTACTTTGGGAAGGCAGAGCTGCCTTGGGTCTTGAGCTACTTAACCAGGGTTAAGTTTGGGAATCCCTCTGTGAGGCCAGCAAACAGCCTGGGACGGGTGACACCAACATGGGCTTGTGGCCAGTAAAAATTGTGTCTCTTTCCTTAGGGGGTTGCTGTCACACTTCCTCAGAGAAAACTTCTGGACTCCTTAGTCCATGCATTCCCGCTGACCCACTGCAAAACCACATGACCCTGTGGTCGTGAGCCCTCATTTCTTCATATACTGTTAGCCCTGCATGCTGAGCTTGCTTGACCCTATATCTGAACCCTGATCCTATGGAGAAAAATGGAAGAACCAATGATTTAAGGAACTTTAGAAACAAATGATATAGCCCCTCAAGTATATTTTTCAAACAGTAAAATACATTATTTGGACAGATGTATTGCTCTTAGAGAAACCACCATTTTGAAGGTTCCCAGCATATGGGTTTATAAGCAACACTTATTTCTACACATAGGTTTAAGTAGTCATATTTGGAAAGTTCACTTTCTAATGTATTATAGGCCTCATTTCCCCCAGACTCCTAAGAATGCATAATTTCTACTCGGGTCACTAAGGAACTATTTCCTCATTCCAAATGGCCTTTCATTTCTGGGGTGGGAAGGATGGGGCTCCCCTCATTCTGGAGGTAAGTGTTTATGGATAGCTTTAAAATTTTGACTAATATTTCAACTGTTGAGCAATATATCCTGCCATGTTCATACAGAAGAAGGAAATGTAAAATCACTTCCAGTTGGCCTGGAGCAAATCACCAGACCCCAAGCTCCAGGAGAACTGGGCCAGCACTGGCTCGTTTTCCACAGAGTGTCCCTAGAGCACTGCACCACAGGTGCTCCTGAAATGTTTATGGAATGGGGCTGGCAGATGAATAATGGATTTCTTTGTAAGCCAAGGGCTCCAGGCACTCCCTGGTCCTGGGATAGCCAGCCCACATGCTTGGATACTGTATCTCACGCTCTACAAATCCAGGAGACACGAAGAGTACCTAGAACAGGCAGCCTGGTGTAGCAGAATGAGCCCAGAACCAGATACGGGTCCCTGGTGTCCAGCTCTGGCCTGCCATTAGTCAGCTGTGTGACCACAGGCCCACTGGTCCACCCCTCTGGTCTTTGTTTTCATTATATGCAAAAACAGATCATGAAGATTCCTTCTACCCTAAGACTATATTCTTTACATTTAGTGATACGGAGAAAAAGCCTGCTCTCTTGGCTTTAAAAGGAGCAGCAAATCAATGGTTAAATACATACTGCATTCCTTCTTCAAAATGTAGCCACGTATAAAACCAAAAACAATTAGGCTGTTTTATAATAAAAAGAGATTATGTTAATATTGCCTACCTGGCTCAGCCCCAAATCATCCATCAGTATTCTGCTTTGCTCCAACTCACTGTCATGATGTTGATGCAAAAATAAGCTTGCTATAGGAGTCGATGCTGAGCAAATGATGCGCACCTGAAAGAGGAAGATGAGTGAATGGTAGTACTCCTTACATTTCACAAGTTCAAGGTGGAACAAATATCGCACAAAATAAAATCTGTTTGTCATCACAGGGAGCTAGTTTGTGTGATATTTTTAAGCTGCAGAGTGCTTTTCAAAATATTTCCACACAGCTTGTAACATCCTATAAAGTAGGGAGCAAAGGTTTTATTGGGTGACTTTAGGCCTGGAGAGGTCTCAGCTCATGAGGCCAGCTCAGGTCTCCCAGTTCGAAGTCCAGTGGTCTTTCCATTACACCCCGAGCCTGACATTTACACCTGGCTGTTTTGGGCCCGTGCATGCGGGGGTACTTTTCATGCGCTGCAAAGAGGTTACCACCTCTGGTAAGTTCAGTGCATCACTACTCTAATTAGACCCTGAATTTTTAGAACCCACATTTATATCAGCATCCTACCAAGGCATTCTTCAAAAAGACTAAGCTTGACATTAATATTTCTTGATTACACAAGTGTTTGAGTGAATGTGCATATGTGATCATATACTGGAAACACCTTTTATAAAAATCTTTATAAATTTTATGTCCACCAGTTTAAATACAAAACATACTCTTCTTGTTGTTTAAAAAGTCCTGAATTTGTTTTCAGGATTCACAGCTACCCTTTAAACATCATTAAACAACAATGCCAATACCTTAAAATAATGTATGACATTTGGGAATAGTTTTTCCATATCTGAATGGCCTTCTACCTCCTCTTATACATTTCTTTTAATCACAAATGACACTTCTTTCATTATTTAGATATGAATACTCTGATTTCACCAATTTCCATGAATACATTCTAGACTAATGCCTGTTTAATGCTCCCAATTTCTGAAATAAGATAATTTCAACTAGTCTTTAAACAAAGAACACAAACTCTAAATGTGTGATATAGTTAAAGCAAATGTTAGGAGAGTGGTTCTGGTATTCCATCATATCGCCACAGAACTCTTCCTTCCCATTAACTAAGAAGTGAAACAGTGGGGGTAAGACAGGACTGGGGGTAGGACAGAGGGCTGGGGACCATATGTTTTCTTTAAGGTATTCCTAGCTGCCATGTAGACAAGTTAAGAATTTATCAATCCTCCCACTCTAAGAACCACCTACTAAAGCCCCTCTACCACTTTTTTCTTGAAGCATTAGCCCTCTAAAAACAGAGGGCCACCTCCAGGCTCATTCCGTTCATTCCGGACCCAACATGAGTATTTCAGAGCAGTGTCTGGTAAGTGACGGGACTTGATCCCCTTGCTTGGTGTTCTCAGCTCCCTGCTGTCCAGAGGCCGGCACATGAACGCTGGCCCCCTGGGAGCATGTGCCACATTTGGATGTCACTCACTATGGCAGGCTCCTCTCAGCACTGCACCTGAGCCAAGCCAGCTGCCCTTTGCGCTCAGGCCCGCCCCAGGGCCTTTGCTACAAACGTCCTCCCTGCATTGGCGTTTAGGCATCACTTCTCAGCGCTTACAAGCAACAGTTGAGTGGCTTGCAAACATGCAGGTTTTCACGTCCATCCTCTAGGATGAGGGTTCATTTACTGGGCTAGGGTGGGGTGGGCTCTGGAACATAGATCTTAGGTAGCCCAGGGGATTCTGATGTAGGCCGTCCTCAGCAGGACTTCCCTAGGCCCACCCCCACCCCCACAGAGATCAATCTACTCTCCCCCAGACCCTCATGGCACCATACTCCTCTCTCAAGCCTTCCAAGAGACCAGCACTGAGGGGCGACTTTACATTCAGTTCTGTGGATATTTGATTAATGCTTCTCTGACACCAGACTCTAAGTTCTATGAAGGCTGGCACCAGATCTGGCTTTGCCTGTCGTTGAATTTCTAATATTTAGCACTGCACTTGGTATGAGAAAGGTTGTTGAATGAATGAAAAAAAGAAACATTAAAATTTCATCTCTTCCTCCCAGTGGATTCTGGTACTTTCCTCCTCCCCTCAAGATCCCTTCAATTTTAGAATCACTGCTCTATTTCTGTACAATAAGGAGAAAAATTATATCTAACAGTAAAATGATACTTAACTCTATTTTGAAGTTGTACTTATGCTTTTACTGTAAGTATGTATTTACAGATATATACTATTTTTTAAAAAGATTTATTGACTTATGAGAGAGAGAGCTTGAGCACGGTGGGGAGGGGCAGAGGGAGAGGGAGGACCTCAAGCAGACTCCGTGCTGAGGCTGGTGCCTGATGTGGGGCTCGATCTCTCGACCCTGAGATCACAACCTGAACCGAAACCAAGAATTAGATGCTCAACCAACTGAGCCACCCAGGCACCCCACAGATATATACTATAAATAGTGGCTCACCTTCACTGAAATCTGACTCTATGCCACACAATGTTCTAAGTGCCTTATGTGTTCATTTAATCCTTGCAACAACCATATAGAGTAAGTACCATTATTCCCCCCTCTTTTTTCTACAGAAGGCAACTGCAGCTCGAGAGATTAAGCTGGTCCTCAAGGCAGACAGCCTGGCCCCGAGGCCCACTCTTTAATCAATGGGCTGTTCTGCCTTTGGTGAATGGACACGGGCTCCGTAACTCACCCTAAAACACATGGCTAAAACCAACAAACAATGATGCAATGCTAGTTACGAGGGTTTCTGGGTCACAGGGAGAGAGAGCTCCAATCCTGAGGAGGGTCTCTAGTCACTCATTCATTTGTTCATTCATTATTTTTTCCATCCAATCGTGCATTCATGCAACTCGTGAATTGACTGAGCACTCAGTGTGGGTAAGGCATTCCGCTGCACATCATCGTAGTGCACACACACTGTGCATGATGGCATCGTTGATATCGCAGAGTCTTCTGATGGAAGCCTTACAATACTATGATTTTACTGCTATCACTGATACTATGTATACAGCATTTGGCTTGTGCCAAGCTTCACTTTCAGTGCTTTTCATGGATTAGCTTATTTTGCCCTCAATAATGCTCCGAAGGAAATACTATTTTCCCCAATTTGTAGATGAGGACACTGAGGCCCAGAGAATAAACCAGGATTCCAGCCCAGGCAATCTGACTCCACAGTCCAAAATGTTTAGTCTTGAGAAAATACACTACATCCTTACCTTGAAATCATAGAAGTTATCAATGAGGGTTATGAATCTTCGAGCTTGTGTCCTCTTTGCAAGCGTAAATTGTGGAATGTTTCGTAGGAATATTGTATCAAAATTCTTTGACAGTTCCAGATAGTCACTGGCTCCAAGTGGCTGTAATTAAAATGAAAATAAAGACTAGAACACTGAAGCCAATTCCGGTGGCCCTGAATTTGAAAACACCTCTTTTTCTGGTCATGGTCTGATCTAGGTGGCAGCTTTGGGGTAACTTGACCAAATGGAGCAGTGTTTTCAACTGCGGGCTAAGGATGGTGTCTACTGTAATTGTAATAGTGATGTAGAAAAGGGACAAGAGAGAAGATGAGGGGTGCCTAGGTGGCTCAGGCAGTTAAGCATCTGCCTTCAGCTCAGGTCATGATCCCGGGGTCCTGAGATCGAGCCCCACATCAGGCTCATTGCTCAGCGGGGAGCCTGCTTCTCCCTCTCCCTCCCCCCTGCTGTGCTCTCTCTCATGCTCTCACTCTCTCTTACTCTCTCAAATAAATAAATCTAAAAAAAAATAATAATAATGTTAAAGAGAGAGAGAGAGAGAAGACGAGTGTGGTGGGGAGTGACAAAATATCTCGAGCCACCTCAGTTGATACCTTGTAGGTCCCTGTAGGTCCCTGTCCTAAACCCAGACATTGTTTAATTTATATGACATAACTGTAAACATTTCCCCAATCCTTCCTATGGCTCAACTGCAAACTGTCACTACTGTTAAATGGAGCCATCTTATAACGGCATGCCAACTCCCCTGTCACCATTTTGAAATAAAGACTATGTTTCAGTGTGAACTCATCAGAAAATCTTTTTCATTCAATGTGAACTACAGTTGTTCAGGTACAATGTAGTGAACATGGATTACTAACTTCTGCAGGAAGTGCCAGAGGGTTCAATGACCAGAAGCAGACAGAGACCTGAGCATAACTTGGTGCGGCACTCTCCCTCTTGATGTGAGGAGGGTACAACACTCAAGATTCACAAAGCTATCCACAAAGGTGTCACCTACGATGTAAGGCACTTGTCCCTGAAACATGAATTTAACTCATGAAAATTATGAAAACTATCTGCAAACACATTCTTTGGGGTTAAGAACATTCCCAGCAAGCATTACCTCTCTTCATTTTAAGTTGCATGTGGATGATGTTTCTGGCCCTGCTAGAGTGTGGACAAGACCACGGCCTGAGTGGGCCAGGAGCTACTCTGAGGTACCTCTGAAAGCTCCTGGATCACCAGGACCCATCCCTGGGACACAGATGGCTGAGCCTCCTCCATTTCTGGCAGAATCTGTCAATACTCCTCCCTGTCCAGAAATGTCTCCCTCACTTGGGGAGTCATTTGCATCAAAACTTCTTCCAAAAATGTAGATATGGCTAAGTTCCTGGGAGAATTAGGGATTTGTGAGGAAGGGAGACCATCATCCCCGCTTTAGAGCCCATCCATTTAAGCCTACAGTGTCCTAACAACCAGCTGAAACCAGTCACACTCAGGAAAAGAGACTTCTCATGGAGGTGTGGGGAGGTGAGTAAATCAGAGAGTGAAGCTCTGGGGGAGTGGTTCCCTCAAGGGAGAGCAGCTCTAAGAAGGATGCAGCAGTTATGAGACCCTGGGCAAAGGGTAGGAAACGGGAGAGAGCACAAAGAATAACCCAGCTTCTTTGTAAATCTGCTTAGAGATGTCCCTTCCTCCCATCTCCTCTCACCCACCAGGTAACAAATGGGGCCGGAAGAGGGGACTCTTGCTTTCCCCCTTCCCTCCCCTGGCTGGTCAGCCTTTACCTCCAGACCTGGTGCCTGGCCTTACCTGAGACTCTCCCACTCACTGGGCCACAAAGGGACTGGAGTCTGGGGTTTGTTGGTTTGTCTGTTTAACCTTGGCTCTCTTACGAGGGAACCCTGCTGTTAGGCCTGTTACGGACCAGGAGTGAATCCTCAGTCTGTTACTTATTAATGGTACCTTTGGCAAGTCACATCATCTTTCTCTTCCTTTAGTTTTCCTATCTATAAAACGGGAGTTTGATTCCTAGCTCACAGGATGGTGACGATTACACGAAAGAATATGTGTAAAGCCTTTAGCACAGTGCCTAGGGCACACATTACACCCATATCACTTTGGCTGCTTTTTATTTAGATTATTTTGAGCCCAAAGGATTAGGATTAGGCTCAATACTGACAAGTTGAGGATGTAAAGAAGTGTCGTTCTCAATAGGACCAGTTAGTTTTGTTCCACCACTAGCTATATCCAAAACCCTAAATCAGTCTTTGTGCATCTGCCAGCCCTCAGGGTCACAGCAGGGACCAATGGAGACTGTGGGATCCCACGTAAAGAAGACAACTCCCTACGGCGGAGGTGGGGGGCAAGATACGGCCTCTTCGGATAAAAAGCAAAACTCCTACAATAAGACACTCAGGCTCTGAGGGTGACACACACCATGTTTTTGAGATCAGTTAGAATTTAGTGTCTCATCTTTTGTAAATCATAAAGTATATGTAAAAAAAAATGTAAAAGCTCATCTTAGGTATGTAGTTATGTATAATTAAACTTGTTCTTTATGCACGGATGTGATTTCTATCAGTATAACTACATGCCCAAGGAAAATCATCATCAGGAGCGCCCTGAAGTGCCTGGGGCAACTGAAAATCAGGATTCTGCCCACTCAGCTATTTTTACAAATTATATACCTTTGTCAGTAGGTTCTGCATTTGCCGTTATATTAGCAAATATCCCCTTCCTTCACATCCCTAAAACAATTATGTGCTCATTCACGTAAAGAAAATTAAGCTTTATATAGTTATCTATCTCCTTTAAAAACAATGGTGATGGGAGGCAATGAGGGGTTACTGTTCTTAATGGATCCCGAGTTTCACTTTGGGATGAAGAGATTTCTAGAAATGGACAGTGGTGATGGTTGCACAACAATGTGAATGTACTTAATGCCACAGAACTGTACACTTAAAAATGGTTAAAATGGCAAATTTTACATCATGTATTATTTTACCACCACAAAAAAAAAAGGCCATTAAAACTAAGAAATGTTATTCATTGCCAAAGAAATCCCAATTTAGGCCACAAAAAAAGATAACAATATTACTTTTTTCTTTAAAAACATAAGAAGAATGGGGGCAACTGGGTGGTGCAGTCAGTTAAGCATCCGATTCTTGATTTCAGCTCAGTCGTGATCTCAAGGTCATGAGATCGAGCCCCTCCTGGGGCTCCGTACTCAGCAAGGAGTTTGCTTAAGACTCTCTCCCTCTCCCTCTGCCCCTTACACTCCTAGAATAAATAAATCTTTTTAAAAAACATTGGAAGAATGAAGTGTATTAATTGAAGGACATCTTCAAGGAAATCAGCTCCAATAAGATTATATTAATTTAAAATATGAAGTTTTTAGAAGGTATCTAAAAGAGTGTTTTCTTATACTGGCTTTGATGTTAAAGTATCCAAGAAGTGACAAACTTTCAGGACTGATTCTGGTGAGAGATTGGGGGTTTCCTTATTACTCAGAAGTGCTATTCTTCATTACATAAATAAGTCGAACAACTGTGGGCAAAAACCATGTTAAGACACTTTGGACTCATTGGTCTGTCACTTCCAGTCATGTGACCTTGAGCAATCCCTCTGAACCTCCATTTCCTCATCTGTAAATGGGGGATCATGGCAGGACATGTCTCAGGTTTGTCCTGAGGCCTCGCTGTACTGACTGCATGTAAAATCTTATAATAGTGGCCGTCACACAGTAAGTGCTCAATAAATGCTATTTACAGAGTTTATGTGAAAAGCAAATGAAATGATATGTGCATAGTACGTATTTGGCATACAACAGATAGATACTTAATGAACAGTAGCTATTTTTTTATTAACTATCAAATAACCTTTTCCTGAGCTCATGAGGCCAGGCAGCCTAAATGAGTGAACGATTTGGCTGCCTCCAGTCTGCTTCTGCCTTTGTACTCAGGAGGTAAAAGCTCTTTCCTCTGCTCCTTCCTGCTGTCTCTGGTCTACCAAAATATCTGCCAGCCAGGCGCCTTAGCCCTCCATGAAGTCATTTATAGATGACAAAAATAGCGTCTGTCTCAGGCCCTCTCCCTCCCACTTTTTTGGTAATACCATTAGCACCACATGCGGGGGAGGGCCCCAGGCCCACAGAACGAACAGCCCCTACCCCAGCACATGGCACATTGGAAGGGCTTCATCTTTACGGAATGAATTAGTGAATGAATGATGCATAAAACACAACATAGCCCGAGGAGCAGGCTTATTCCTTCTTTTATATCCATTTGTCTCCAAAAACAATTGAACTACCTACCAAAAAAAAAAAAAAAAAAATCCCACTCTTTCTTAGTTGGCTCAAACTCCCCACTCCCAAGGCAAGTCTTTGTTGTATAACCTAGTATGTACGTAGGAAAAGTCTAGGAAGATATAGACTAAAATGTTAACAGCAGTTACCTTTAGGTGGTGGAATAAAAGATGAATTTTGTTTTTTTGTTGTACTTTTTTGATTCCCCACTGCTCCCCGCCCCATGAACTTGTGTTACTTACTTTTAAACAGCAAAAACAATAATGCTTTTTTGGGGGGGTCATTTTTATAATGGGCATCTTATCACTTACCTCACACATGTGAGATCATAACATGAGTTGTGTCATGGACATTTTTTCCCCCAAGGTTTTCTTAAGCTATAGAAGCGGAATTTTTTCAGGGACATTTAAAAAGAAAATAAAACATAAGGCTGAAAAGGAGATCTATAAAGATCTCCTTTACAGTGTGACAAAAGCATAAAGGATTTCATATTTGGGGTAAAATTTGACTTCAGTTATACAGTTACGTTCAGCTCATGGTGCTTCACACTAGCAGAGCAAGAGAGAGAGGGGATGAGGTGGATGGCAGCATCCCCCAGTAGTTCAGTTAGCTCTTGCAGCCAAGCACCAGACTTGCCCAGATCAAAGGCGTAGTGACGTCACAGGCAGGTAGATATACTCCCATTTATATCATGTCTTAACCTGAGCACATTTTCCCCATGCAAGCTGGATGACTAACTAGTGTGCTGTCCGTATCCTTTTCTCCACAATGTCGGACGGTCCCCAGGCCGTCTGTATACGTACACTGCCTCTGC